CTTTCCCTCACGCTATACCTAACCATGTAAACAGCCTCTGATGTCTCTGTGTGAGGTGGTAATGTGGGTCATTCAAGCAATCTAAACTAATCTGATTGAATCAGACCTCCTACGTAATGGGGCAATGAAATATCACTTAGCAATTCTTGCATTTAGTCAAATAAATCTTGAAGCTGCACGTTTACGTGCACGTGTGATTTCCTGGAGTTTCACTACTGAAAATACTAGCATTACACATCCAAACTCTTCTGTTGGACATTACTCAGTACCTGCTGTCATAAAGGGGAGTCATATGCATATTCTGTGTCTAATTTCAGTGTTTGGCCCCAGTATACTTTTGCATGAGCTTTTGGATAGATTTGTAATTCTTATCATGGGAAAACAACAGATTTACTCATAAATATAATCATCTTAGTTACTATGTTTCCTTTAATGTTGACAAAAATGTTTTAGGTTAGAGAATATCCATGAAAAAAGAACCCCCCACCACCATAAGGCCTGTTTAAATGTACAGGAGAGAGCTTTCTTTAGATCAGATGAGATTTAAGAGTTTCTAGCCCTTAACAGCATGTTTCTTAGTATTGTAATCATGTATAGTATCATCATACATTCCCGTAACCCTGTGTGAATGTGAACGGTTTGTCTGCTGTTCTGTAACATTAGATACATATGTAATCATATGCCAATGAATGGAATCTAATGGGGGGGAGGGAGGGGGGCAGTTATTTTAGGATATGCAGGAGCCTAGTGGGAAAACAGTGGAACATCTGCTGATTCTCTTTGACAAATACTTCTCTTTCCTGTTCCAGAACGGTTTAAAATAATAAGCAATTTTGAAGTCAAGAGAATTTAGAGGCCAGGCCTGTACTTCTTGCATATTTTTATCTCCTACCATCCCACTATATTCACTGGGATTTGGAGTTGGCATAACTCAGAAACAATTTTCTCTGAACATGTTACATCTAGGTTTTGAATGTCCGTCATCCCTTGCACAAGTGGAACCATTTGTATTTCAGCCCCCAAAATAATCTTGCAATTATAATGCTACCAGAATTCTTACAGAAACAACAGATATAAACTCATGGGAGATTGCAGAGCCTCATTTCTGATCTCTGACTACCAATTTATTTCTGAAGTGCCCAGGGTTGTAACATTTAATTTCTCTCACAGTT